GCGAGATCGTGACCTAAGCGAAAGTCGGACGCTTAACCGACTAAGCCACCCAGGCGCCCCTTCCCATATATTCTTACCATATATTTAGCTGGTTATTTGTCTGTAGCCCTGACTCCTGTGCACGACCCCTCAGGCCAGCATAGTACATCCCCCCCACCTGGTCAAACTCTAGCAAAGAGCCAGGAAGGAATCTGCAGGATTCTAATGCCCTAAGGTTACACTTGCCGAGGGTTAGTGGGTTATTAGGACTTTGAATAATGTTCTAATAGGTATTACTGGTAAGAAAAGGGGTCGAAGGCCTTTGAGAGAAGCCATTCTCTGCTATGCCCTGGTTGTCATGGTTACATTAATCCTAAACCAGAAAAAAAAAATCATTTCCAGAAACAGCTTTCTGAAACCTCAGCAGATGCAAATTTTTAAAACCTGGTCAAAGTTTATCTTTACAGATTTGTGTCTATGAGATTGTTTTTTGAGAGGTTAGAACCTTAGCTTATATCAAGTAGGGGAAATCGTTTGTTCAGATGCTTCGAGGAATTAGGGAGAGAGAGGAAAATACCATCCCCCCAGAAAGAATTGTCTTTATTCTTTTGGAAGAGAAGAAAAATACTCTCACATAAAACTCTATGTAATAGAAATAGCCTGAGGGCATAGATATATTTTAAAGGTACAATAAACTAAAGCAACTTTGATTCACAATTTTGAGTAACTTCCAGCCAAATGTGAATGAATGTTCATACTATTTGTTGTTCAGTATTCAGTGGCCAGACATTCTCCAAGAATGCAAACCTCCTCCTAAAATGTGCTCTTACAGGATTCTATGAAAAGCCCATTCAAAGTAGAGAACCTCAACGTGGACACCGAGTTTGAAACCAGGAACATTATTTGTGCACTGGGCTAAAATTCAAATGCCTTTTGGAGCATCATTAAAAGTAGCCAATAAGAAAAATGTGATTATGTAGTTTCACTAATTGCTGATTTGTTCTCCAGGATAAAACACGCAATTACTATTTGGTGTCTTTTCTGTAAGGCACACATGTCTAGAATACTTGAATCAAGACTGGCTGAGTGTGGGGTTAGCCAGATTGGCAGTTTCTGAGAGGCTGTGAGAGTCTCAGATCCGTTTCCTCCCCTCCAACACAAACACCTGGTGATCTTTAACAAGCTCATTTGTCATAAGATCCTTTCCATGTTAAACTTCCTGACATATATAGGTTTTCAAATGATTTGTAAATTTCTTGGTTTCCCTTCCTTGTGTAACATAGCTTGTGTAGCATTAAATAGAATTGTGTGTCTTTTTTTAAAATTAATTTTCTTAATCTTTATTTTTGAGAGAGAGACAGAGTATGAGGGCGAGGGGCAGAGGGAGACACAGAATCCGAAGCAGGCTCCGGGCTCTGAGCTCTCAGCACAGAGCCTGACATGGGGCTCAAACCCACCAGCTGTGAGATCACAACCTGAGCCCAAGTCAGACGCTTAACCGACTGAGCCACCCAGGCGCCCCCGAATTCTGTGTGTGCCCTAAAGTAAGTTCCCCTTTGAGAAAATACCTTTACGATTCAGTCTTTCTCGGGGTCTCTGCTTTTGCTCTGGTAACTTTCTCCATGCTCTTGCCTACTGCCCCCATTCATACTTCATCAGCTTATTTCTAGATTTGTTTTAGCAGAAGGGCTCATGGTTTTACAGCTCTTTGAACCCCATCACTGGCTTCTCATACAAAGCCTGCCCCAGACGCAAACATTGCAACTACTCCAGCAGTGGTCATTTCATGCCAAACCCGGAAAAGAGCGCTTTGCACAGAGAAATCTTAGCAGAGGTTGGGTGTGCACACGCAGCTGTTCACTCACTCTGCCCGTGCGATCCAGGCCTTCACAGCCACTCTTCCATGAGCTAGTCTTGCCCCTCAATATTTTTCTAAGATCTAATGTTCTAAGAACTCGTTTTCTTGTTCTTAAAGAAGCTGAACCAGATTGTACTGTACATCACCCTCTCTAGTTATTTAAAGATGTCAACCCCATCCTCAGTTACTTTTTGTTTTTTCTTTTCTGTATCTTTAAAAAACATTTTTTTTGTTGTCGTTGTTTTAGAGAGAACATGCACCAGCGGGGGAGGGGCGGAGGGAGAGAGAGCATCTTAAGCAGGCCCCATGCTCTGTGAGGAGCCCAATGTGGGGTTCGATCCCACGACCCTGGGATCACGACCTGAGCCAAAATCAAGAGTCGTATCCTCAACCGACTAAGCCACTGAGGCATCCCTACATTTTTTATCGTGATAAAATATACGTAACATAAAATTTACCATTTCAGCCAGTAAGTAGACAATTTAGTGGCATTAAGTATATTCACAGTGCTATGCAACCAATCCCGCCATCCTTGGTACATACTGCGATGTGATTTTGAACAAAATTACTTTCAGCGTGAAGTTCAGAAACATGCACTGGAGACGAGACTTGAATGATGGGGCAGACTGTTGGAGCTAACTCACCGGAGGAAGTAAAGGAGGGATGATTTTTCTTAGAGAATGAAAGTGAAGTCTTTCCCTCCTTTTTACTTTATTTATTTTGTATTATTTTTTTAGAGAGTGCTTGAGCAGAGAAGAGGGGCAGAGGGAAAGAGAGAGTCTTAAGCAGGCTCCATGGCCAGTGCAGAGCCTGATGGAGGGCTTGATCCCACAACCCTGGGATCATGACCTGAGCCAAAATCAAGAGTCAGATGCTCAACTGACTGAGCCACCCAGGTGCCTGTCTTTTCCTTCTTTATTAGACGTTACTGTTTTTCAATTATTCCTGCCACAGTGCACGTGAAATGATGCCACCAGAGACCCTTAAACCAAGCACTCAAAGAGCCTGCTGAGTTTGGGATTGTCCAGGGAGAACACTGCACACCTTCGGATAACTCCGACTCTCTTCTGGATTTCAGTGATGAGGAACGTGAGAGTATATAAAGTGGCATCTGTTTAAAAAAAAATGCTTAATCGCTGGACACCAAAGCATCTCTGATGGCTCCTTGGACCAGGCTGGGCCAGGCGAATGGACATGCCCATCAATGTATTCATCAGGCTCTTGCTCTTCCTGACCATTGGTCTCCTGTTACTAATTGGTTCCTAAAATGCTCTGCTCCTCTCAGAGGGAAGGTGAAAGTATAAAGGAAGTAACTAGAGGACTATTTTTTTTTTAAAAAACCTTTTTCTTCCAGCATTTGATCCGTGTGGTGGAATTGGATCCATTTTACTAGCGGGTCATTAGGAATCCACCAGGCAGTGAAGACAAAACCATGGCATGTAGGGTAGAAATCGGGGTCTTCTGTATCCTGTTTCTTTCCCTGCAGTTCTGCACATAGAAAATGAACGTGTAGGGGCGCCTGGGTCGCTTAGTCGGTTGAGCGTCCAACTTTCGCTTAGGTCACGATCTCGCAGTTCGTGGGCTCGAGCCCCGCATCGGGCTCTGTGCTGACTGCCAGTTCAGAGCGTGGAGCCTGTTACAGTCTGTGACTCCCTCTCCCTCTGACCCTCCCCTGCTCACGCTGTCTCTCTCTCTCTCTCTCTGTCTCCTAGAAATAAAAAAAAAAAAAAAATGCACATGTAGTATTGATTTCAGCAGGCATTTGAGGAGTGCCAGGTGCTTTGCTGGCCAATAATAATGATGAAGTACAAAGTAGCCCAGAATTTAATTGGAGAGAGAAGCTTGTGTCTACTTAACCATATATAATACTGTGGAATGAGTAAGTTTTATTCATTGATTCATTCCCTTCAAAGTTGGCTGGTCTTCAGGCTCTGTGGATACCGAGATTAATAAAATGCATCCTTACCTTCCATGTGGGTGTGATGGATGAGAATTCGCACAGAGTGGTAGGTGGATGTAAGGAAGAAAGCCAGAATTACTGCCTTATGCGTGGGGGAGGGCAAGGCAACCAGACGGGGGTTCAGCTTCCACAAAATGGACACAGAATCACGAGCTGAAAACTTAGGTCCACACAAAACCCACACATAAATATTTATAGCAGTTTTCTTCTTTTTTTTTTTAAATATAATTTATTGTCAAGTTGGCCACCATATAGTGTGTACAGTGTGCTCTTGGTTTGGGGAGTCGATTCCCATGATGCATCACCCAGTGCTCGTCCCAACAAGTGCCCTTCTCAAGGCCCATTTTAGCAGCTTTCTTCGTAATTGCCTAAACTTGGGTGAACCAAGATGTCGTTCAGTGGGTGAATGGGTAAATAACCTGGGCACGTTCACACAAGGGAATATTATTCAGCAATACGAATAAATGAACTAAGAAGCCACGAAAAGACATCTAGGGACCTATGTGCATAAACCTGAGAGAAAGAAGCCAATCTGAAAAGGCTGCATACCGTATGACTCCAACCCTATGACCTTCTGGAAGAAGTGAAACCAGCAGTAGCCAGGAGTTGGGAGAAGGGGGTGTGGGTTGACGAGGTGGCACATGGTGAATTCTTAGGATGGTGAAACTTTCCTCCTTGATCCATGGTGTCTCCATGATGTTGTATGTTAGGGTGCACGATATTATATGTTTGGCAGGAAGCATAGAGCTGTATAATGCAGAGTAAACCGTAATATCAACTGTGGACTCAGGGTGATGATAATGTATTGGTGTCGGCTCAACATTTGTAACCAATGCACCACATTGATGCAAGATTAAGACTAAGGATTCTGTGCGTGTAGTGAGAAGAGCTATGTCAGAACTGTCTGAACTTGTTCTCCACTTTTCTGTAAGTCTAATACGGCCTTAAAAAATAAAGTATTTCCAAAAAGGGGCTGGTGCCTGGGACCATGATGGGGAGAAAATGGCCAAGAATTATCATCTAAGTGTGAAAACATCCTGGGAATGAGGTGTGTGGTCAGGGGCCTGGTGGTCAGGGTTCTTGAAGGTGGGCCGTGGGAAGCTGAGAAGGGCCGGAAGGTTCAGGAATGAAGAGGTGGGAGTCGTGGTTGGTTTTCAGGTCTGCCTGTCGCAGAGCGGTGACTCCTATTGTCTCTGTTTCCAGCAAAGAGCCCCCGGGAAGGTGTTGCTGGATGCAGTTTGCAGCCACCTCAACCTCGTGGAAGGAGACTATTTTGGCCTTGAGTTTCCTGACCACAAAAAGATCACGGTAGGTAATGGGAAGTTAATATTGATATTTTATTATCCGTTCAGCTTTGGGAAGGGAGGGTAATCAGTCTGGTTCCTTGGGCATACATACGTGTCATAGAAGAAAAACCGCCAGAGAGCCCTCGTTCAACATTTTTTTTTGAAAGCACTGTGCACAGGGGATTAGCAAGTGCAAAGAGAATACTCTGTGGACACCAGCTCCCTCTGACCCTCTCCCCTGCCTTCCCTCCAGGACCCACCATTACCATTTGCTTCTGTTCTGTGCCCTTCTGATAAAAATCCATGTATGTGGATATATATGTGCATATTATTTTTAAGTTCAGTCCTTTCTTCCTCCCTCTCTCCCTCCCTTCCTTTCAAGAGAGAGTAGAGAAGGTGCAGAGGGAGAATTCTAAGTGGACTCTGAACTCTCAGTGCAGAGCCTGATGCTGGGTTGGATCCCATGAACCTCAAGATCCTGACCTGAGCTTGAAATCAAGAGGCTGACGCTTAACCGACTGAGTCACCCGGGCACCCCACATGCATATTTTTGAAACATACTAGGGGCGCCTGGATGACTCAGTCGGTTAAGCGTCTAACTTCAGCTCAGGCCACGATCTCGTGGTTCGTGTGTTCAAGCCCCACATCGGGTTCTGCACTGACAGCTCAGAGCCTGGAGCATGTTTCAGATTCTGTGTCTCCCTCTCTCTCTGCCCCTCCCCTGCTCACATTCTGTCTCTCCCTGTCTCAAAAATAAATAAACATTTTAAAAACTGAAAAAAAAAAAAAAACCACACTAATGTGGGGAAACAACATACAGTGTCTGGTACCTTACACTCTACTTCAGTTAATGTATCATGAAGATCTTTTCCGTGCATAGAATCCCCTTCCTTCTTTTTCTCTGCTGCATGCTGTTCCGCCAAATAGACATGGCCATAATTTACGTCTGTTACAGATAATGGGATATTTAGGTTGTTCCCAGTCTCTTGCTTTTACAACAAAGGAAGCCACAATAAGTACATTCAAGCTTGCCCTTGAGTGTTTCGGTACATGAGATCCAAGGGCATGGGGTTGCCTAATCTGTGGGCTTGATCATTGTAAAATTTGAACAGTAGGTCATGCTTTTTATGAAGGTTTCACCCATTTGAACCCAAAGTTAGAACATAGCTTATTGTTCCTTTTGTCTTTTAGCTAATGGCACTTTTTTAGGGCTGCATCTGAGTCTTTTATTAAACACCTTATGCAACTATGAGTTCATTAGCTGTATTTCTAGTTATCCTTTCACGCAGGATACAAAGTATCTAGAACTTTTGCTAGCCACAGCACCAGGGACCCAGTAACTGTAAGGTGCAGGGAATGTGTGATCCAGGCAGGGTGTCAGGCTTAGTCAGTGACCTGCACAGCACATGTGGGAGGCATTCTCCGCCAGAGCCGTTGGGCAGAGGGGGTAACAAATAACACTGGTGTTCAGGGAATCCTTCCCAGATATTACAAAGCTGAGTCCCATGAGGCCAGTAGGAGTTGATCTAATAGAAGGCATGTTCCATGGGGCGCCTGGGTGGCTCAGTTGGTCAAGCGTCCAACTTTGGCTCAGGTCATGATCTCACAGTTTGTGGGTTCGAGCCCCACATTGGGCTCTGTGCTGACAGCTCAGAGCCTGGAGCCTACTTCGGATTCTGTATCTCCCTCTCTTTCTCTGCCTCTCCCTCACTCGTTCTCTGCCTCTCTCTCTCAAAAATAAATAAACATTAAAAAAATAGAACGTTCTAGTTGGGGGGGGGGACCCAGGTATAAAGAGCAGAAAGCAGCCTGAAGGAACTGGCAAGGAAGGCCAGAGTAGACAGGTAAGGAGGAGAGGCTCGGGTGAAGGAGTGAGAAAGAGGAAACTGAAAAGTAGGCAGGGAGCCACATCTTTTTATACCATTTATACCACAGGACTTTTTATACCATTGCTGTCCAGTAGAAATAAAATATGAGGGCATGAGCACTGGGTGTTATATGGAAACCAACCTGACAATAAACTATTTGTAAGAAAAGAAAGAAAGAAAATATGAGCCACATACATCATTTCACATTTTCTAGTTTTATTTTTTAAAAAGTGAAATTAAAAGTATACGTAACTTAACACGTCCAAAACCAGCATCATTTCAACACGTAATCAATAGCAAAAACTGTGAATAAGCTCTTTCACATTTTTTCATGCAGAGTCTTTGAGTCTGGTATGTATTCCACACCTACAGACCCTCTCGATTCACGCCATCCGTGTTCTAGGTGCTCAGTAGACATGTGTAGCGAGCGGCTGCTGTCATCGGACAGCGCGGCTCTGTACCGGCTAAGGTGCTGGGGCAGCTGGCCGTGTGATTTAAAGGGCACATGGTCTGATCTGACTTACGGGTGAGGAAGAGGACTGGGCTGGGCTGCAGCAGGGCAAGGCTAGAGTCAGGAAGGCCATTAGGGGCTTCCTGTGTTTCAGCTGGAGGCGGAGCAGGAAGGAATTAAGGGAGAACTGAGGTGGGGGGGTGGGGGGGGGTGGCTGGAGCCAGGTGGGTGGATTCAAGAGGTTTTGGGGGAGGAGGCGGTTGACGGTATGCTGAATGGATGGGCTTGTGAGAGAGAGCAGGCTCAGAGCAGCTGGGGTTTCCAGCTTTGCCATCTGGGGGGCCGTGGTGCCAGTCGCTGGAGATGAAAGCCCCACCATGTTGCGAAGGGAGAAAGACGATGAGCTCCGTCCCGGACATGAGGACTCGGGGGCGTCAGTGGGCGTCCCAATGGAGGCATCCAGTGGGCAGTGGGTGTGTTTCCTGGAGCACAGGAAAGAGATCTGAGCTGAAATGGAGATTTGAGAATCACAGGATTATTATTTTTTAATTAGATATTTGTATATTTTGAGAGTGTGTGTATGTCTACACGCATGCAAGCAGGGGAGGGGCAGAGAGAGAGAGGGAGAGAGAGAATCTCAACCATGCTCCTGCTGTTAGCAGGGAGCTCAGCCTCACAAACTGCGAGATCATGACCTGAGCTGAAATAAAGAGTTGGACGCTTAACCGACTGAGCCACGCAGGTACCCCTGTAAGATTGTTTTAAATATTAATCGAAGCTCTGACACTGGATGAGAGTGTAGAGAGTAGAGACGAGGCCAGCGGGGAGCACCAGCATTTAAGGGATGGACAGAGAGGGAAGAGTCCTCAGAGGAGGTGCAGATGGGGAGGAGGAAAGCCAGTGGAGGGACACGTCACGGAGCAAAGGAAGAGAGCGTTGCAAGCAAGGCACAGACAGGAGGCGAGTGGGTAGGTGGTGAATGAGCCAATCTGTCACATACCTAAAAGTGGGTGCAAATAGTGATTTCTTAGCATATTCCTGTCTCCAAATACACTTCGCCATTTCCTCATACTTAAATTAAATCTTAGCCTCCCAGACTCCCCAGTCTTTTTTCCCACATGGCACGTGACCACAGATGGGCCAGATCTAATTCTACATTCTATTTATCCAACAAATTTTTTCTGCCTACACTGTCTCAGTCATCGTGCTTTATACCACAGAAGACACATGATATAAAGTGACAGCAAGAGGTGCTTATGGTTTCCATTCATTAGAAGTGCACAGCTTGAAAGAAAAAAGAAAGTGCACAGCTTGGTAAGAGAGACAAGGAAACTAATAATTACAGTACAGTGTTACACGTTGTGTTGAACATTGTTTCATAAACTTATTTTACCTTAAAATAATGACTCACAACACTGGAGGAAATGCTGTCATTACTTCTGACACCTTTGCCTGAATTACTGCAAGGTCCTAATGGCTTCCTGGTCCTGACTCCACTCTTGCCCTGTTCCGAGCCAGGTAGAGATGCCTTTCTAAACAATAGATAGTAATGGCAAGGGTACTAAGATTCTCAGAATCTGTGCCGTATCTGGGTCAGCTGACTACCTAATGGTGGAGTTGGGATTCTAACTATGGTCTTCTGACCCCAAGTTCAGTGCCTTTCTAGAATTTGCACCCGTGCTGGTGTCTTAACTTCTATCACGCTAGATTCTTATGATCTCACTGCTTTCTTGTAATACCTTCAGCTGCAACATACAGAAAGCCTAACGATGGGCAAAAGAATAGGAGTTTATTTGTCGCATGTAACGCAAAAGCCACCACGTGAGTGCTTACCACATGCCAGACTGTTGTAGTCCCTGCAGACATAACAGCTGACACGGCCCATATTCTAAAGCAGGGATCAGTACACTTTGGAAAGGGCCAGATAATAAATACTATAAGAAGGCTTTGCAGGCCGTGGGGTCTCTGCTGCAGCTACTCAAGTCTGCCCTTACAGTGCAGAAGCAGTTGTGGACTATATGTAAATGAATAGATGTGGCTTTGTTCCAATAAAACCTTATTTATGATGCGGGAAGCCACCATTTGCCAACACTTGCCCTGGAGAGTGATAACTTATTGCAAGGTAGCATATTAGTTTTACCTAAAATATTTCATTCATTCCGGGAAAGGCCCATCACATACCCTTTTCTGATGAGGAAGCTAAGGCTTAAAGAGGTTAAGTCATTGTCCAAAGGTACACAGCTAGGAAATGCTTTGATTCAAGTTCAGTTCTGTCTAAACACAAGCTCATGCTCTCCATCACCCTTCCATTCTGACAGCATTTCTGTATTGTGCTCTCTGTCAATTACAAAAATCCCAACCAGACAGCTAATTTCATAAAATTTAAGAAACATGTTGTTTTGACAGAATTGATCTGTGGTGTTAGATGAGGCGGTCGAGGTGACTGGAGAAGGGTACAAGGAGGGACTCTGAGACCATTGGCCATGTCCTGTTTCTTAATCTGGGTGCCGGTTCTGTGCATGCAATCAGCATGTAAAAATTCAATGAACTGTACACTTAACACATGTGCACCGTGCGTGTATAAAACATCAATAATGGGTGCCTGGGTGGCTCAGCATGTTAAGCATTGACTTTGGCTCAGGATATGATCATAGGTTTGTGAATTCGAGCCCCATATCAGGCTCTGTGTGGATATCAGTGTGC